TCATTTTTTTTTTCAATGCAAATATAATCAACCTGGAATAAAACAATATTCATTGGAGAACAGAATAAATTGATATTTCGGATCTTTGTCGAAATAATTATCAACCTTCGTACGATCGTATCTATCTTTCGGAAGACGAAACAGAAATCGATCGCCGCGCATGCGTTTCTGCGGCTGACGATCCAATTATTTCCATAAGGCGAGCATCTAACGATCTTCCACGTTCCACGTGCATTCCCGCCCGTTCATCCATCCAACCCATCCATCTATCCGTCCATCCATCCACCGCCCATCCATCCATCTATCCATCCATCCGTCCGTCCGTTCGTTCGTCGTCCGACCGTTCGTTCGTCCGGTCAGCCAAGCTTAAAATTAGACTCTATGAAACGAACAAGCCGGAAGCGGACAAGACCGAGCGAGGCTAGTACCAAATTTATTTAGCGCGAGTGTGAATTCCATTCCGTGTCCGCAAATTCATTCATTCATCCATTCGACCGGTGCGATTCGTCCGAGACTCACTCACTCACTCACTCACTCACTCTCTCTCTCTCTCTCTCTCTCTCTCTCTCTCTCTCTCTCTCTCTCTCGGCGGAAAAATCCCGGGCGTTTATTCCGACCGGCCAAAGTTGGCCAGAAAGTAATTATTTGCCCGCGATATTGTTCAACGTTTATGCGGAATTGTACGCTCTCTCTCCTTCTCTCTCTCACCCGCGCTTCGTTACGCGCATTTTGTTAGACCGTCCTTGATTAATATTACGTAATATTATGCCGCGTTTTCGGGACGGGAACGAATTTTACGATGATGCCCGGCGTTAATTACCGCCGGTGGCGGGTTGTTTGCAGGGAATTTCCGCGTAACGGTCGTAAATTTGTAAACGGGAATGGCGAATTTACCGTGCAGAAATGTTTCGCAAGTTTCCGCGCGAGAGACACTTTGCCGTGTCTCCATGATTTATCCAGTCCTTAATTCTCCGGTGCAGGAGAAATTATTTCAACGCGACGCAATCTAGCTCGGTGCGAGAGAGACTATCCGTCGAAGCGGGTTACTTCGTTTGATAAACGTCAACAATTTGACGCGACCGCATTCTTTCGGGGAAGCGCCACGTAAGAGGGCAATAAAATTTTGCCAGCCAAGTGTAGAAGTGAGATGATGGCGCGCGGTTAGAGGATTAACAGTACGACCTCTAACGCATTCCTCGCCGCGATATCGTGAACGGGGAGTGCCGTGGAGAAGAAAATCGTTAGCCCGCCGCGCCTGTGGAAACGTGCCGAAGCTCTGACATCCAACCGAGTTGCAACAAGAGTAGCAATTAGTCGGGAAACGCAATCCTCAAAGCCGAAGCCGTTTACGCCATGGTTGTCGACATAACAATAGAGAAAGAGAGCAGAGAGCTCGTAAAATTATCGATCGTTAGCGCGAGACGAAACACGTCGCGTTTCACCAATCTCCGTCTTCCACCGAAGTCAGTTGATAATTAAGATGATGCATCGAGTTTATAGCGTGCCAACTTTAAATATTCAAAAAAAAAAAAAAAAAAAACGTTTAAGGCGATTCTTAAACTGAAAATTAACTCCAAAATTGTCGCTGTTTTATCGACAATTTGTGAATATGTATGCGTGCGATATTGATGTAGTAGTAATGTGTTCATGTTTACTACCACATCAATATCGCGTACATTGTAACAAATTTTCAAGCGCTTATAAATCTTTTATATTAGGCATTTAAGCCTAATTTTATATACACGGAGAGAATTTTATTTTAAAATTTACCCTGAAAATCATGTTAATCGTGAGACAACATGGTATTTTGACGAATTTTGTGTGATTTTCACTATTTTTTTAAATATATACTACAACAAATTTATTGTAGTGCACATTAAAAAAAATAGAGAAAATGACATAAAATTTGTCGAAATACTATGTTGTCCCACGATTATTTTCAGAGTAAGTTTTAAAAGAAAATTCTCAATGTATGAACTCAACATTGTTTAGAGTTTGGATATTTTATTTTGCAACTCAGGCTGCTATCATTTTGTACTCTCTAAAAGTGAATCAATGAAATCTTCACTAATTGTCAGTGTATATTATTTTCCAGTGGAATACTTAGAACTGTGATAAACAATGACTATTTCAATGTCGCTTCAGTGATAACAGACTGATTCAAACAGTGGATATCATTGAAGAACAGTGAATTTCACTGTCAAACAGTCAAATTCACTGCCCTTCGGTGATATTCACTATTTAAATCAGTATATTATCACTGAAGCGACATTGAAATAGTCACCGTTTATTACAGTTCTAAGTATGTCACTGGAAAATGATATACAATGAGTGATGATTCCACTGTGTAATTCATTTTTAGAGAGTACAAACAAACTGCCAAATTTTCGTACAAAGCAAATATTGGCATACGTTGATAGATTCTAGACGTCATAATTGGACTATGAAAAGGTAACGGAGAAATAAAGTAAACAAATTTGTTTTTCGTTTTCAGAATAATCTCTACTAACCTGAGTTACATTGATGTCCTTACCTTAATTTTATACTTTAATTGTGAAAAAGGATTATTAAATCTTTAATTATGTTAATTATGTCAAGAAAAATAATCACATTCGGTCGAATAAAACAGTCGCCTTAAGTGCGCCAAATATATTAAACCTACGTCTCATCTTTTGCGATAAACATGTATCGCACCGGCGCACTTGGGATTTCAAAACAACGGCGCGATCGAGTTGCGGAAATACCGCGAAACCGCCGAGTGCCATTGTTCGCGTTTGCTGATTCCACCGTTAAGGACTGATTCATTCGGCGCCACGTCAACTATCCTATTTCGTAGCATTAGGTTAACCCTCTGCGGTCTACCTTACTCGGTGCACAGTGGTGGTTATGACGAACGCGCGCACAGGGAACCTATACCTAAAAGGGAACCGCATCGCGCGCGAACGAGGATATTCGAAACGCGTGTCTCGCGTATCGCGATCGCGAGTAAATACGACGGAAATAACATTGCCGCGAGACAAAATGCACGGCGATGCGTGATTTTTAATCTCCGCGGAGCCATTTGTTTTCGCAAACTTCGCGTTCCAGCGGGTCGTCGCGGCCGGGATGACGGGGATGGCCGGCGGTGTGTAATGGGAACGCGATGGGAGATGAAAAGCCCCGGAGATGCACGCGAGGCGAGTAACAATGTTACTGCTGGTGCGGAGGGATACGCGGCGGATCGAACGGTGAAAAGCGAAACGTCGGAGGATCAACGGGGATTTCGACTCCGTCCTGAACTTTATGTTACTCGCACTGGAGAAAATGAGGAAAACGGAAAGTGGAAAACGAGGAGAAGGAAAGTGCGAGTGAATCCACGAATAGATACGGACGAAAGCTAGTTTAATAATCTGATTAAAAATTATTTAAAAGAAAAAAGTATAAAGCTACCATTTTTCAAACAAAGCAACTGTAGTCTATTTAATTATTAAATTCGATCGTCGAGAAACGAAAAGTAGGGGAGAGTTGCCAAATGCGTACAGGTTTCATAAATTGTACCTCTTCAATATTTTATAGTTCCACTTAATAGAAGCAACATTTAGTAAAAAAAAATGAAGTAAATAAGAAATGTATAAAATAGACAAAAAATTAACAGGTTTCATCTTGTTTTATGCATGCTATCAACATTTAAAAAAATCAGATACAATTGATGTAAATTTTTGATTAATTTATAAAGCTGATATTAATGTAACCTTGCAATTTTTAATTAGTGTTATTTTTTCTTAAAAGAAAATTTGTTATAGAATATTTTACATTCATTGTAAATACATATTTACAATTATTATAAAAATTATATCAACATTTTTATCATCTCTGTCAAGTTTCCTAAATCGTACCTAACCTAACCAGCATAAAAGTTCTTATGTCGTATCGGTACAATTTAGTAACACAAATATATCTTTATCTTTAAATCACATAATATAATCAACATTATTTATCTTAACACGATGGAAATTGTTCTGTAGCAAGTCTGTAGAGAAAAAAACCGTCATCGAGTTGCGCAAGCAAAACAGCTTCTGTTTAATAAATTACAAATAAAGTAGGTATTAATTCATGATTTTTTTTATTGATCTTGTGTTTTTAATTATTTTCATTCATAAATTCAATAGTTTAAAAGGAGGTACCATTAATAAAACTCACAGGTACGATTTAGGCGAATCCGGTTTCCTGAATCGTGCTTTCTGCAGCACATTACAGAAAAGCTTAAGCAGAATAACACATTAATTTGCTGTTAGCAAAAGATTTAATATGTAATAATAGATGCCTTAAACGTCAAGCTATAATTTTTAACGTTTGCATTTCGAATAGTACCAAATGTGAAATATAACCAAAAATATCTTAAGTGGTACGATTTCGGCAACTCTCCCCTATATTAAAACGATCTCCAACGTGGGAATGCCCAAAAGCCTGAGAGAGAGAGAGAGAGAGAGAGAGAGAGAGAGAGAGAGAGAGAGAGAGGAATTTGAGAATCACTGATTGCTTGCAGTAGGGCCGAGAGAATCGTGCGCGAAGGATGAAGGAAGGCGCAATAACAATATCGCGTCCTGCCCTTGCCGCATGCAACCAGGGGGTAACGTCCTGTTACACCAGTCTGACCACTTCGCGCGTTCCCTCTTCCCTTAACCCTTCACCGCGTCCCCGAGTGCGCGCGGACCGTTTTGCTTTGCACCGGCCTCTCGCTTTCGCCTTCGCCTCGCCGCGCGCCGCCAGGCCGGGCGGGCGAAAACGTCGCGACCCGCTTTTCGCTAATCGCAATCCCATTCAGCGCGCGACTCGTTTCCACCGCACGTAAGCGGCGTAAGTTATAGGGGCGTGCGTGTTCCCGAGAAGATCCCTCTCGCGCGAGTCATCGCGAGGGAAGTATGTACGTATATAATGCGTAGCGATGTCCCGTAAAGCGCAAGGTTAAAGTAAGGAAGTAAAAAAAAATTGTTCGTCAAAATGAGTAATCGTTAACTTACCGATAATGATGTCCGCCCTTGCAGTCTCCGCGGTGAATCAGCACTAAACCTGCACAAGCAAGACAGAGCGATGGTTTTAGTTCTCGCTTAATATGCGTACGCACGTTCGTATTATTATTATTATAATTAACGTCGCGCGAGCTAACATCACGTATCTCTTAGACCAATCTTAGTGCTATTGTGCGCGAAGGAACGCAGTAATTAGGATATTCTCCTCCCCCTTCCCTCTCCCTCGCGTCTCCTTGCGCGCCTGTCTCATCGCAAATTCCGCATTGTTAATATACATGTTATATATTAATATATGTTCCACATGTTAAACATGTTATCTGACTTATCTGAGTTGGACACTTGTAAAAGACTAATAACGAAGTAAATATCTATTGTATACTTGCAGAATAAGCCAACAATAGTCTTTCTAGAGATTTCAAATGCCATGCGCCACTGGAATTATACATACGAAAGCCTGACGTAGTAAAGGCTGATGCATGCGAAGTTGAAATTACGCGTCTATTACGTGGGCATTAATTAATCAACAAAACATCGGCGCGCATCGGCGGAATGGAATTAATTGTGTTCCGCGGCGCGACCGGTTCGCGCATTTTTCTACACACAGCCGGCCGGCGCGCGGCACGGAAAAACGCGCTTCATGCGTCCCACGTCCGGGGCGCGCATCGCGGCACGGTCGTAAAACCCGCAGCGCCGAGACCACGGGTCGGGTATCGCTATCACGTGCGCGGAATTAATTATAACTACTCGTCCAACTATTTATCGCCGTCCGGAGAGACGGAGCCGACGCTATAGAAGTGGGCCATAAACGTGTGGCCCTTTCTGAAAGAAATTGCAAAACCGCCGGGGGAAGGGGGGAGGGCGGCGGAGATAAATCGTCGCGATTAACCAACGCGCATCTCTCTGGAATCTACGCGCGAGGTCATCTGCAGGCTGACCCGCATACCGCCGCCGCCGCCGCCATCGGCGGAGGGTGTCCTTATTAAATCCTCGCTTGCCTCCGCAAGCCTCGCCATGCATCTACGAAGCGGCGACGAAAATAACGAACGGAAACGACGAGTTTAACGTCGAACGAACGAACGGGCGAAGAAATTGAAATTCACGACGGGTGTCGGAAGGTGACGAAAAAAAGTAGCTCGTGGCGCAACATAGATCGTAGTCCATAGATCGACAGCCATTTAAATGCATTCGCACTTGATGCAAAACGACGGAACTGCGACGTTAAGAACGACCGACCGCGTACATACTGCGTGCCCTCGCGCGGCCCGAAGTCCCCCCAAGGACTGAACCGGGCGCGGAACCTTGAAGCACTGCGCTAGATCACTGTCACCAGGTGTAATGTCGGAGAACAAACTTCACTCGCCCGGCTACACGGCTCGCGAATCACGATCGGGCACTCAAGGCTGAAAATTCCAGACGCCCCCTCGCCCTCCCCTCCCCCTCGTCCCGGGATAGGTCAGGGACAATGAACGTGCCAAACGCAGCAGCGCGCGGCAGCAGCTGCACCCGAAGTTCATTCAACTTTCCCACACGAGAGTTCGTTCTTTTATCCACCAATAAGCGGCCGCGGCGCGTCGCCGTTCGGGAACGACACGCGAGATTCACGACGTCTCCTACCGCTTTTTCCGGTTCTTCGGCTGTTTTTTTTTTTCTTCAGACCTGCGAAACGCTCGGCCGGAAGGAGGTCGATCGAACGGCGAACGAACCTGGTGAAGGAGGCGACTGGAGCATCAACCCGCCCCGGGATATCCCAAATGTTCGCCTCCTGCGAGACTCTCAGCCGAAGGATTTTCTTTTCACAGCGAGGCAGTTTCGCGCGAGCGTTAATCTCCTCGCGGTGCGGACGCGATTGCGCCAGAACTAATACTAGGCCGAGAACACGAGTAAACTTCGCCAAGTGGCCGAGAAGCTCGTCCACCTCTTCCTCGTCGCGAGGAGCCGCGAGTACTGGTGGGGCGAATCGCTCGCGGAGGGAGACCGTAGACTCGGCCGAGAAGAGAAGCGAGGAGAGGAGAGTGGAGAGAGGAGAGGAGAGGAGGAAAGAGTAGGAGCGGCGTGTGTACGACTGCTATACGCGCGAGCGATGTGTGCGCGGCGCGGCGCGGCGCGGCGTCGAGCTGCAATGTGCACGCGAGTAATGCGGATGCATCGCGATGCGGCGCGACGAACGGAGGCGAAGGATGCGGAGAGCACGGGAGAGAGACGGAGAGGAAGAAACAGAGCGTGCGAGAGCAGCGAGAGGGAGAGTCAATGAACGAGATTCTCTCGCGAGATCTCGCCGCGCGATGAGAATTTCACGGCTGCGAAGACGATCCTCTCTCTCTCTCTCTCTCTCTGCTCCGCGCGACCCCGCGCGCGAGGGGTCACGCGCAATAAAACTCCAGGGTTCTTTAGGCCAGATTTTCGTGATAAGAGAATCGTGCGGTGCACGAGTGCCGCGAGTATTTTCCCAGAAGACGCGCCGCCGTCCGTAAACAGGGACCGCAGTTGTTTATACCGAAAGCGCGATTACGTCGCTTACGTGAGCGGCGAACGCTGACTAACCGCGACACTCGACACCGACAAGATTATGCGCCTCGACGAATTCATCGACGGAGAATGCGACGCCTGGCAGAGACAGGAGATGCGGCGAGAATACGGCACGATTATTGGACAACCACGGCAGAGAACGTTTTTAAAAGAAACAATTGGCAAACTGATAACAAAAAACACAAATTCGCGAATTTCTATTAATTAATTTAACAGGAAATTCAGAACTATTGTCTACATTATTAAATAATAATAAAACTTAATTATTTTTAATTAAAAAAAAAATTAAAATTGACAAATTGTGATACAGAGAAAATGAGTATGTTTTACCTACATTTTTATAGAGCCATGTAAGTGATTAAATTTCGATCACTCTGATCAACTTTAAAATTATACGCAAAATCTTGGCGGTCATAGAGAAGGATGCAACTTTGATTCTTTCTTTTTCTAGCTTAACCAGAGGCGTTTCTAAAATTTGAAACTGAACGATACGACGCGCGAATGAAGGCTCATTTCAGTTATTTCGGTGCCGCGAGATCGCGACCGATGACGAAAGTAACACACTCGCGACTCCGATCCGCTGGAGCACAGGGCCCCTTCCCCCCCTCCCCCCGCCGGGCGCGGAGGTGTCGGACGGCGCACGTTTCGACGTACCTGCGACATACCTAGTAAGGTACCAGCTCTTTTCCTCGCCTTCGGGACCACTCTCGAGGAGAACCCGCCGTCGGCGCCGTCAGAATTCTGCGTCCCGCTTATCCGCCGCTACGGCGAGAACACGCGACGCGGAAAGATATAATGGAGATATCCCGTGATCCCACGGCACAGAGCGGAGCGGAGCGGAGAGGGTCACCGCGCGGCGCGAAATCGCGGCGAGGAAACGGGTTAGCCCGATGCACGGCATGACATGGCATGCGTGTCGCCCACGGTGCGGCGCGTATATGACGTGGCGTGCGTGCGGAAGTATATCGATCAGCTGACGGTCGGGCGGATACTGGGCCGCTTCGCGGAATTCACCATATTGTTGCGTCGGCACGCATGCGCCGAGCCCTCGTCCCTTCGTTCTGTCACTCTCTCGTTCTTTCTCTCTCCCTCTCCCTCCCTCCCTCCCGCCCTCTCTGCCTCTTCCTCTTTTCTTCCCTTACTTTTTTCTCCCTCGCCGTCATTCCCGCGGCACCCATCCCCCTCCCCCCCCTCCCACCCGTCTACCCCGCGGTACGTACAGGGTGATTCAGCAGGAAACCTGCACGATGTATAGTTCCGGTACACGTTCCAAGGGGATAGGAAGAAGATCGAAATAATCTACGATGGGCTTGCGCGCATCCGTTTATCGATAAGAAAAACGCGATCTTTTAAGTCCCGCGGACAACTATAAAGGGGACGGCTCCGGAATGAACGAACGAAATCTTCGTAGAAAATTCTCGCGCTTTAAAAGGTTACTTTTTCGACGACAGAAGCGCGAGAGAATTAGCGAGTTTTGGCGCGAGACGAAATTGGGGCTCGCGTTCCATGCGACAACTTATCAGTGTAGAACATAGTATCAGTGCGGTTTTCGCGAACATCCGGTTACTACCCTCTTTTAACCCGGCCATCCACTCTCCCCGCCCGCTCCTTCCATTTCCCAGGCGAGTATCCCGGGGCTTTTTCACATCCATACGTCGCTCTTCAATATGCTAATAGCTCAATCCTACTTTGCCACGCCGTCTAAATTACATTATCGCATTACATATAAATTTCTCTCTCTCTCTCTCTCTCTCTATCTATCTATCTATCTTCCTCTCATCTCGTTTTCACCGTGCTTACACATCCCCGATTTTACAATGCCTCTTCCCATCGCGTACTCGCCGCTCGGTACGATCGCGCGCCCGAACGACTTTCTCCGATTTCTACGTTTCCGCGTTTCCCATTTTCATCGTGGCCCCCCCTCCCCCTCCCCCCCGGTAATACGCGCAACTTCAGGAAACCCCTGCGCATAGTCATACGAGAATTGTGTGCACTATGTACGTAGGTATTTTATCGTCACGCGAGTCACGCGGTCGAACGTATATACATATGTATAACGAAACATACGGACAATAGGATCGCCACGATTACTTCCCTGTTAATCACGAGACGACCCGCTCTCTATGCGATAATTGTACGCGAGAAAATATGGGGGAAAAGGCGGTGTGTCTCGGGTATCGATCCATTCCTCGGAGGACATTTCGCTCGGTATCGTCAAGGCTGCCGCCGATCAAAAGAGTTGTCGCCTCATGACGTGCGGACTGATTAATATTCGGCAAATATATATATATATATATATATATACGCGCGACAATCCGCGACGTTCGCCATCGATCCCCGTTCCTTTCCGCGTTTCAAATTACCGTCCGTCCGTTTTCCATTAGCGCACGCTCCGCCGAGACATTAACGAACCGTAACGAACGCGCAGGAATTACTTTTTGGAACGACGATAATGCAGCTACGCGGCGAGATAAGCGCGGGAACGGTAGAAAGCCGGAACACACACAATGTTAAACATCGGCGAAGGAACTCTGCGGCGTCTAATCAAGTTTTTTTTTCCTTCTTCCTCCTTTCCGAGGGGAAAAAAAAAATCGATCTCAGCGTGCGCGGTATGTGTGTATGTGTGAGCGGAGCAAAAATTGGCGTGCCGCAATTACACGTACTTATACGTTGTCGAGAATGGGATCAAGTTCGCCGCTCGATAGAGACGCCAGAGGAGCCCCCCGACGGGAGCAACGTGCACGGGCGCGTTAAATAATTACTGGTATCAGTGGAAGCGCGCGCGTATAATTGTCGGTTATCGGCAGTAAAGCGTCGGCACACGGTTAAATAATGATCGGCTCGGTTTATTATGGCGATTCGAGAATGACAAGAGACACGTCCGACCCGTCCACCGCGAGGTGGGTGACGGAAGCGGAGACGCTTCCGAAAATAAAGAAACGCGAAATAAAATATAGCGGGGGGGGAGGGGGGAGAGAAAGAGAAAGGACGCGGAACGAGAGTGAGAGCGGATTCGCTGCGCGATGTACCGCTGATTTCACGGCTGAGACGCGCGCGCGAGGGATCCCGGCGGTCACGCTTCGTGATTCTCCCCATTCTCTCTCTCGCTCGCTCCCTCAGCTTGGCTCTCCTCTCGAGCCACGAGAAAAGAAACGGAAAGCTTTACTTCACTCTCGTGTCGAAACTGGTTATCCACGTCGGGTAACGTGTTACAGCGACTTACGTTAATCCCGCATCGCGATGTAACGGTTTTACGTTAATTGAATTCTCCCAGAAAAGCGGCGCGAGGGAAATTTAATAAGCGTTTGGGAAAACCGCGTCTCTCTCTCTCTCTCTCTCGTCGAAGCGACACACCGATATTCGCGTCTCGCGTATAAATTATACTTTATCTCGCGAGATATACTCGTAGAATGCAATGCGTGAACGGGCACAAGGTGCCGTGCTAATGTTATTCGCGTTTTCACGCGTCGCGCGACAAAAAAGGCACTGCTGCTGGCAATTATACTGTCGTAACACCAGGTAACAGGATCACCTGTATCCTCCGCGATTAAGTAATAGTAGGTACTAAACGAGAGTTACGCGATCACGCGCGAAAATGCAGATAATATGCAATTTTAATGACGCCTCGTTCCGATTTCATTTAGCCGTCCAGGTGATACATAATTGAAAGCGTGTCACGCGGGATACCTTTCGCCGCGGTTTGCAGAATCGTCGCGCGTTTCCGACACTTGATTATCATCAAGTGGATCCGCCCGAGGCTCGCGCAGGATATAAATAGCGAATCTAATTGAATGAAAACGGCACGGAGGAGAGCAGTTAGCTTTTCTCGGGCGAGCCGAGGCAATCGCGCGGGAAGAGTTCCTTCGCGCGTCCCCGGAATCTCATTCGAATGCGGCGCGGGTGCCGCCGAGGACCGGAGTCGGAACGCGATATCTTATCCTTACGCGATCGGCCGAGGAAGCATATTTTGAATGCACGAATTTCGCACGGCGGAAAGGCGGAATGGAGAAACCGGAGAGAGGATTGTACGTATCCCAACGCCCCCGAGACCCGGTCTTTCACAGAATACGCGAGGAGAGAACAATGGGCGATCTTATCGAGGTCGATCCTTGTACGCGAGAGTATAGAGAGTGCGAAGCCGGCTCGTAATTAACAATTAAAATTTAAAAAAAAGTATCCTAGTAACGCGATAATTATTAGCGCAACTTGCGCAACACAGTGTGACTCGCTACCCTTGAAATTTATATACGCGTGGTCGTCGTTCGCACGACGGGAGATTTATCGATCCGTTTATAATTTATACGCAACAGAGAGATTAATATATTCAGTGTGATAAATTAATCGTTGTCTATATCGTCGAAAACAACGCGTAAGACTCGATTTCGCGTGGCCACCAACTTCATCGGGCGGGGGATTTGGGGGGAGAGTCTCGCGAAGTTTGCGAATCGGATAATTCTCCGAGTAAAAACGAATTTATCAACTCACCTTGACACGGAGGTAAATTACTCTGTGATCAACGCCAGCTTTCCACCCGTCTGAAACACACAAAACACGGACAAAGTTACGACCGGTTCGCCACAATTAACGACGAGCGGGGCCCCTCGACAAGACGAGAGACTGTCCGCCAAACCGTCGTTTTTGGAAGAGAGACAACGCGCACGGTGTTGTGGAACTTTCTAAGCGAAAATTGCGGCGCACTCGGCGTTACGCACTCGCGGTGGCCACAAACAAAACAACACGTCGCGAGAGAACGCACAGTTTATTTTCGTGCCAATAATCGCGCTTAGATGTTATTGACTCGAACGTATTTATCTCGGTATTTACCTTTTTTAACGACGTTAAAAAAACTAACCCCTAACAGATCCTTACACACAAAATATTATTTACCTAAGTTCTAAGAATCGAGAAGCATGTCTTGATTGTTCAGAAAAAAGTCACAAATTCTGCACGGTGCGAAAAGAGAAATAGAGATACGATATATATCGTGAAGAGTGCACGAGGTCGAATTTTTGGGATTAATGCGTCACTTAATCGCGAGCGAGACAAAAAAGACTTGTCGAATTTTATTCTCCCGATGTGTCGCGCGAGTTTTTCTCTCCGAGACGGACGAAGCCACCTCGGCGCCGAAACAACGGCATGTCTATACAGACGGGAGTAGAGAGCTACAATGGCGTGCGATAATGAAATAACTTAATTTCGCTCCGGCAAACACATAGATCAACCGAGAGGGGTCGGCAGTGACAGTGGTGACTTGCTGGTAGTGGTGGTGGTGGTGGTGGTGGTGGTGGTGGGTTGAAAGCGAGCGAGTCCGATGCAAAATACGCGCCCGGCCAACGAAAAGTGTGCTGAGGCTTGAAGTACACTGTAATCCACTTTGTTAGTTTGCGATCTGCTGCTCTAGGATGTATCCTTTTCAACCGGACCACGAGCTCGAGCCGAGTCAATCGATTTGAGTACCCCTCGAGAGAACATCGAAATGCGAGAAAATTGAACAAAACCAATCCAATCATTTTCCGAATCAATGATATTTCGAAATACATGTAAAAAAATAAGTATTTGCGAAATTCTACTTTGATTCGGCTAAAGGATTGGCTTATAGAAAAGGATTGGTTTCATTCTAGAGATTTACAGAAAATACAAAAGTTATCTTATTACAAAACATCTTTTCTCTAGCATCGAAAGATAAGAATTATTAGGAAATAAAATATTTTAACAAAAATTCTGACCAAAAATAATACAGCTTGTAGTAATAGTTACATTAGATCGGCGTAGTTTTTGTGCAAGAAGAGATGACAAAGAAAATTTGAGAGACTGTATATATCTTTAGATCGTCCTAAAATGGAATATGAAGTGAAAAACTAAGGATCTAAAGATATCAAAGACATTATTTTCAAGACAATCAAAGGTATTATTTTAAAGCTAGTCCCGTTTTGCATTCAGCTAACAGTGTGGTGCATAGGAAAACCATGTCGACGAGAAAGCGACGGAAAATCCAGCGGATTTTGTCAAATTGAGGGGTTACACGGATCACGAGGCGGGATACAATGTGAAACATCAAGTGTGCGTCCATAGTGGCGTGCGGTGGCCGTGTTGGATGGCGAGCAACCGTAAAGCTGATTGTAAAAGGACCTTACACAGAGGAGAGGCTCGGTAACGATAACCGAGAGATACGACACAAAATCCGAATCGTTATCCGAGAGTCGCGTCACACACGAAGGAGAAGAGGAGCGAGATGATCGACGACGACGGCGACCAAGTTCGATGTGGACGAGGATGATGAAGAACGACGGGCACTTCGCGCCGCAGCAGACCGATGTGTTCTCCACTTGGTGTGTCCACGTCCATTTGTGGGTCCCGATGGCCTCGAACTGGTCTCTTATCCCCGGTATCGCCCAATCAAAAAACCGGCAGCGTACCGCTAGACGATTGGTCGGGGCACGGCCACCGTGAAGACTGCAATTGGTCAACCGGCCCGTGTCACCCATGGTTACCGTTTGCATCAACAACATCTACGGTCAATATTACACGGCTTTGCTATACCCGCGGCCCCGTGTACGTTCTCCTCCACGTTCAGCGGTCCCGCACACAAGCCGCGATTAACACCTACGTAACCCTCCCCCCCCTCTTCCCGAGAGGGGGCGGAATTCTCGAGGGCAACCGCTTTTCTTCCACCACCGATCTCTCCCCTGTCGCTGCTCGCTCCGCGAGCGTTTCTCCCTATCCCCTCGCGATATACCCAGCCGCCGAAGGGCTTCGAGAAAGTTGAAGGCGACCGTCGCCTGCACCGTCGGCGTAAGGGTTGCAAAAAGCCACCGGTGCCGCGGCATCGCGGGCGTGGGGCAACCCTCACAACATCCAGCGACAATTATTTTCCGAGCTAGCTCGCAACCTCCTTATCGCGACCGCGGCCGCCGTCTTGGGATACACCACGGCGCGCAGCTTGCGATAGAGGAATGTATTTACGTAAGGATAATCTTGGCAATTAAGTCGGAGCGACAGGCTAAGACTCGGGAGGATCTACCAGGGACCGCTGAATCCTATTTTCATAAAGGAAATCCTCCGCTTAGAGCGTTCGTAGACTCGCGCTTTGTATCAAAGATTCACATTTAGGATACATCCTTTGTACGTAAGCGAAAATGTCGATCTTATCCGCCCTCACAACTTCCACGAATAATTCTTCTGACAAGCTACGATAGCACGGGCAAGCTATTTAATAGTCAGCGAAAGATTTTTAACTCGAATAATAATGGTAATAAAAAAATACGTTATTTAAAACGAAATAAAATTGTGATTGTTTAATAATAAAAAGTCGATGTGTAACATTCGTGTAGCGAATGCATGTGTATACGTGGAATAAAAAAAACCTAGGCATTCCATGTTTTCATGGAAAAACGCGGAATATATTTTCGCCGTCGCCCGCGCACCAGTTTCCATCTCGTACCATTTCGCGCATGTATATATATGGAATCTCAGTTCCGAAGTGTCGCACAAACGGCTTCGTCTTCGAAGTCTAATTGCCACTTTAGCGATTGTTGGGTTAATGGTATTAGCTTCGGCTCTGGCTACGTCCCAGAACTCACTGTCAGCGCTTCGACCGTCGTTCTGTCTTATTTTGAATTAAGCCCGCGCGATGGAGATACACAAACGAGCGCCGTTAACGTTAATTGCTAATTTCGCAACGTACGGCCACAAGCGCGAGTGTAAATACCCAATTGCGTTTTCCCATAACCGGGCGAAACACCATTCGGTGTGCATATGCGTTTCCATCCCGCTATCGAATAAATTTAGCAGGCAATAATATTACAGCCCACCTAACGCTAATTGTATCGCAAGTTGTATCATTTTCATCCTAACGGTATTATATTTATTGATCATTTGTGCCTCGGAGACAAATCTCCTTGAACTGAATAGACTGTAGAAAAGAGAAGTCCCGCTCTACAAATAAAGCGTTTAACAACGAGCTTAATATAACGAGCAATTAATGTAATTCGAATCGATGTATAAAAGCGCGAGGTGCATCTGCGGCATCTGAAGATCTTATTACTGACCCGAGGATTGAATGCCGCACGGAACAGACGCTACTAGAGACGTCGCTCCGCCGTTCGTCTCAGATCGACGAACATTTGTCACGCGGATCGTCGACGTGCCTCTTCGCGCCATCGAAAACCACCCTGAAGACTCGACGAGAAAGCGGTTATCGAGCACGACCCGCGGTATTATTCGCGACTTTGGAGAGGAACCGGAATGCCTCGAGGCAGGGAGGAGGCAGAGGGGGGCCCAAACGCCGGGCATGTCCCCGTTCGACGTTCGATTATCCGCGTTATCGATCCCTCCCGTCCCTCTCGTATTCCTCGATTCCTGTACGACGAAATGAGCGCGGATGCGGGAGACATCCGGCACGGCGGTTTTTCCGCTAAAGCGATGCTATATGTCACGCGGTCCGCCCGTCGCAAAAACTCATACATTTGAAGTCCCGAAATACCTGAACGCGAAAGTCAGTAATTGTTACAAGAGTTTGTTAATGAATAATATTAATACAGCCGACCACTCGATATCTCGAATCTCAAGGGAAAAGCTAAAATCTTCGAGTTAGAGAGTTTTCAACTTATCGAAATTCGAATAAAAGAGGAACATATGAAAATTCGACTTACGGAGACTTTGTACGAAAGTTCATAATATTCCAATTATAATGGCGTTTAAACAAAAAAAATTCAATACTTTACAGTGAATTATTTATTGTATACATATAATAAATGTAATCATAAAACAATACCAGGTTTAGAGATGTAAAAAAACCGTTTTTTTCTAATAGAAAAAAACATTAGAAAAAAAACGTGTTTTATTTAATTGAAAAAATAGAAATTTAGTTTTTTTTCTAATTCCGATAGCATGACTAATTAATTGTAAATAGTATTTATATAATTATACACGGAAAGAACGATTTTGTTGAAAGATCAAAACATTTTGCTAAATATAGATCTGAAAATAATTTTTTGTTGAATCATCAAAAGTAATTTATTGGAATATTAAAACTGATAAGTATTGTATAAAACGTTTTGATATTCTAGCAATCATTTTGACTTTTGCACCAAATTATTTTGATTATTGAACAAAAATTATTTTCAAATCTGGATTCAGCAAAATTGTACTTTCCGTGTACAATTAATTTTAATGTGATCTATATTTAACTTTTACAAAAGGAGAATCGTTTTAATTCTTTTTCTAAACAGCTTTTCTTTCAGTAGAATTTATTATAATTATTCATTGAAGTCCTTACTTCAAAATATAAACATGAAAAATTAACTTATATTAGGCAAAATATAGATATTAAATAGATAGCTGGAAAAAATACAAAATTTTGAGAAAAAACAAAGCGTTTTTTCTTTAAAAAAATATAAAAAAAAACAATTTAGTTTTTTTTCTATTTACATTTCTAACTAGGTTAGTTTACTCATGATTACACACTGCAGCTACAACTTCCAATTATAGAGGCAGCGACAATACAAGTTTGACTCATAAAGGTGACTTCGACTTG